TTTTAAGCCAAATTTTGTTTGAAGCTCATTCATTTGCATCTCACTGGATTTATTCAACCTATATAGCTGGATGGTTCTAAGATTCGAGATGTATCCAAAGTTTAACCTTGAATTTGATGCCGTATATATATTTTAAGCAGAAACATAGAAATAATGAGATTTTTTATAGTGGAACACACCTATTCTATTGTTAATCAACTCTCCCACCTATAATAATATTAGTAGTAGTAGGACTCGGCTCAGTGGGTCGGTCAGTCAGTCAACTGGCTGATCGGTTGAACTCTCTGCCTTCGGGTTTTAATGGAACCCGAAGGAGTAGCTACGCCGAAGGGCGGAGTCTCTTTCAATATTCCTTAAACCAACCTGAACCCGTTTATACGGGTTCAATGGGCATATTTTGGCCGTCCCCACGGGCTCGGAGATCCCATGGAAAAGGCCTTGTGCCACATGACAAAATGACTAAATATCGTCGGTCAATCAGTCGATGCCGGACGACCGTTAGTCGGATACTAAAGTATCAACCACAACTAGATTTCTCTGCGTAATTACCTATTATATCAAATTCCTAACGTTTTGTACGTCGAACCTATTCAAGGACCGACTTAGTACAAATACAAGCCTCACTGTGAAACCACTCTATAACAGATTTGCAGATCTGGGACACTAAAATCAAGCAGGTGCGGAAGTTTAAATATCTTTTTTTTTTTGACAGAGGAAAGTAAGTGTGAGGCTGAGATCCGAAGACGTATTGGGATGGCCAATGTCGCATTGAAAAAACTAGACATGTTTTATTATAGAAAATTTCTTTAGTTACAAAAAAAAGTACTGAACTGCTACTTGATATCTGTTCCTTTACGGCAACGAATGTTGGACGGCCTTCTAAATAAAAGATTTGAAAAACTCGAGGCAACGGAGATGAGATTCTACAGATTCTGCTGAGAATATCATGGACCGAGCGTATCAACAACGATGAGGTTTTGAAGGGGATTCTGAAACAAGGAGGAAGCTTATAGTTAACATCAGGAAGAGGCAGCCTGAAATTTCTGGGACACGTAATGAGAAATTTTTTGGGCTTCGAGAATATGATGTTTTTCACAGGTCGAATAGAAGGAAAGAGAGACAAAGGAAAGTCATGACATACTCTGTCTTTTTAAGAAAGTGGATGACATAAGAACATGGGGGAAATAGTAAAGGGACAAAAACTTATTACGAGCTACACGGAATTCAACTCTTTGGAAAGCCATGACCGTCTACTTTCTGTTTTTTGTTTTTTTTCTTAAAAAAGAAAATTATAAACTGAATGTCTTATATAGATATACTGTATATATATATATATATATATATATATATATATATATCTATGTGAATTGTCCAGAATTAACAACAAATAGGAATTCATAATACATGAAAAATATTCAATTGTTTTAATAAAAAATTAATCCCGTTACTGTGTTCGTTATTCTTTGTTGATGGAACTCCAATCAAAGAGACAGATTTGAAAAGGTTTATTATACGCTCTTTTTCAAGATATATCCTATATAAGCCAAGCATTGGACACGTGATGCTGGGAATAGGGTAGTTGGTCGAAACGTTGTGTTTATATTAACATCTATATGAAGGAAATAAAGCCACTAAGATGCAAGGGAGGCTTTACTGGGTGTGAAAAGATATAAGAAAAAGAGAAGAATTATTAAGGAGAGAGAACAACAAAATAATAGGAATAAAGAAGACAGTAGATAATGTTTGAGTTTGGATTTAATTTTTTGTACATCAAAATGAAGGGCCATGATCGCCTACGTCCTGAATGGATACGGCACATAAAAAGAAAAAAAATTAAAAGATTTGACCTCTGACCTGAGAATATGAAGTTCACTGATATGGTAAGGTCGGTGGTTCTTCATGGTAATATTTTTCTCTGTACATTGTAGAAGTTCATCAGGGTCTAGTTTATGGTCAACATTGCGGTCACAGGCGTTGAATTGATGGTCTAACATTTCCTTGTAGCCTTTATCTGTAAATAAGAAAAAAGTAAAAAACAAGAAAAAAAGTAAATTGAAAAAATGGAAAAGAAAATAGGACCGTTTTTATAATATATCGACAACATTTTCAATGGTTATCCTCATGGGGGCTCGTGTTATTTTTGACCGATGCGTTTTTCAGCCTTCCTATCAACATATGAAATTATGAAATGAATCACAATATCCCCATCCTTTTTGTTTTTAGCACCATGTCTTGGACGACGTATTCTTCGGCCTTCCTAACCTACACGCAAGTCTGCCACTGGGTGCCGCTAGGATTTACCACTGTCAGACCGCCGGCGTGCTCATCTCGGCAATGTTACCACTGGCAGACTGAGGACTCAAGGATCACGCATAGACACCAAACAAACCGCTGGCGTACTGTGAATCGGCATAGTGCAAAAAATGTAACACTGGCGGATTGCGTGTATACAGTGTTGTCCCAGAAATTATGAGATGATTTAAAAAATTGACGGTTTTAT